GTAATTGTAATATGGCCTCAGGGATAGAAAAAGACAGTCCGAGGAATATAATCTATAATGTTGTAAGTATTTCTTAGGGGGCCAGATGGACCCATGTCCTTTTGGGGAGTCCACTTCATAGTTGATGTAGAGGCCTGACCACCGCATTGTATTTCTGAAACTGATGTTGAATAACACTGTATGTCAACTATAATTATATATATACATATAGTCTCGGGACATGGAGTAGAGAGCGGGAACGGATTCAATGGAATTGTAATAGATAAGCATGATATCGGGGGTGGGAAGGCAATAGATGGGGGAGGGGGGTTGTTACCTGGTGAGGGTGAAAAGGGTAACTATTGTATTGTTCTGTACACCTGAAACTAACAATTAAAAAAAAAAAAAGAATTGACATTTTAACAATACTGAGTATTTAAACCCATAAACAAGGTATATTTCCCACTTATTTAGGTCTTTCATCTATTAGCAATATTTTATGGTTTTCAGTATACAGGGCTTTCACTTCTTTTGCCACATTATCCCTAAGTGTTTCTCATTTTTTTTGGTGCTATTCCAAATGGTATTTTAAATTTCAATTTGGGGTTTTTCATTGCTACTATACAGAAATACAACAGCTCTTTGTACACTGATGTAACCTGTGACACCTTGCTAAACTCATGTATTAGTTCTGGGCTTTTTTAATAGATTTCTTTAGCTTTTCTATGTAGATAATCATGTCATCCACAAATAAAGACCATTTTACGTCTTCTTTTCCATGCCTTTCATTTCTTTTTCTTGTCTGACTGCACAAGCCAGAACCTCCAAGTGGTGAAAGTGGACATCCCTGTCTTCTTCTCGGCCTTACCCCACGATGTGTAAAGCTGGTTGGCATTTCTGCAGATGCCCTTTATTAGGGTGAGGAAGTTCTCTTCTATTCCTAATTTGCTGAGTTTTATCAAGAATAGAGGCTGTATTTCTTTCTCCCTGTCCACTGACATGTAATTTGTCAATACAATAAATTACATTGATTGATGTTTGAATGTTAAACCAGCCCTGCATTCTGGGAATAAACTCCACTTGGTCATGATATATTATTCTACTGTTAGATTCAATTTGCTAAAATTTTGTTTAGAATTTTTGCAGCTATGTTCATAAGAGATATTAGTCCATAGTTTTCTTGTAATGTCTTTGGTTTTGTCATTAGGATAATCCTAGCCTCACAGAATGAGTTAAGAACTACCCCTTCCTCTTAAATTTTCTGGAGAAGTTTGTATAGAAATTGTGTTATTTCTTTCTTACATGTTTGGTAGAGATCTCTAGTGAAGCTATCTGTACCTAGATTTTTCAGGACAGTATCCTGCAACAGATCACTGCAATCCTACCTGGAAGCTCAAAGTAATCCACTAATCAGATCTATTGGGTAAAATTATTCGTCCAATCATGAGCATCCTGAACTACAAGGGAAGATAATTAATAAACACAAAACTATATGAAAGCTACTAGGACCAACAGTGTAGATCTCTTGGGAAGGGTCATTTATCTCACTACTTCTGTGGTGGCAGCACCAAAAGGGGCTGGGATACTTGGCTACCATCATAAAATTCAGAAGATACCTTGCTATGATACCCTCTTATCAGTCACAAGCTCAACATACAAATGGTTACAATTCTCTCAGTAATTCCTGGTATATCCTCTTCAATAGAAACTAAGAGTTCAGCAGAGTCACCAGGTGACACTGTTTCATGTGAACTCTGCTTTGCATTCCATTTTCAATAAATACAAATAGTTATTGAGCTTTGTCTTTGGAAGGCTTATATTCTAACAGGGGAAGAAATAGCAAACAAACATCACTGAGTATATAAAAAATGTCAAGTGCAACACAGGAAATAGAGCACGATCAGGGGGAACAGGAATGCCAGAGGGCAGGGTTGCATTTTAAATACGGAGTTGGATGAAGAGTGACATTGAGCAAACACTTGTAAGCAATAAGGGAGTAAGCCAAGCAGAGAGCGGGGGCAAGAACATTCTAGGCAAAGGGAACAGCCAAGTGCAAAAACCTAAAGGCAGGAGTGTGACTGGAGTATAGAACGAAAGGAAGCCAATGTGGGACGAGTACTGAGAAGGGGCCATTGAGGCCATGGGCAAGGCGGCATTTATTTTTCTGTAAAAGGGCAGACAGTAAATATTTTAAGCTTTGTAGCCCACATAAGGTCTCTGTTGCTTATTCTTCTTTGCTTTTTAAACCAACCCTTTAAAAATGTAAAAACCATTCTTAGCTCATGAGCCTTACAAAAACAGGCCTTGGCAGGATTTGGCCTGTAGGATTTAGTTCACTAAGGGAAATGTTATTTGACTCATGTTTTGAAAGAATCACTATGGTTGGAGGGAGAAGGGAGACCAGTTAGAGGGTCACTGCAGTCATCCAGAGCAGAGATAATGGGAGCTCAGACCAGGGTGGTAACTAGGAAAACAGGAGAAGTGCTTCTGGCTTTTTAATTTTCCCCCTCCCGATCAAGTGGGTGGATTTGCTCATATTTGGATTTGGGAAGTGTGAAAGGAGTCATGGATGACTCAAGACTTTGGCCTGAACAACTAGAATGATGGAGTTTCATTAACCATGATTAGGAAGATGGCAAGTGGAGATATAAAGTACGTGTTTCACTTCAAAACAAAGTAGAATTCATATTCCTTAGATCCTGCCACAACTTCAAGCTATTTTACTTATTTTCAGAATTTCAGAACCATTTTTTTGTCAAGTCACAAAAATCCTACTGTGATTTGAATGGAATTGCTTTAAGCTTAAAAATTAATTTGAGAAGAAATGGCATCTTAACTATGTTCCATTCAATAACATGGACCAAGTATTCTTTTCTGCCTCTGAATGAGGTTATACAATTTTTTTCATATAGGTTCTTGCATACTTCTTGATGACCGTATTCTCAGACATCTTATACTTTTTTGTTGCTACTACAAATGAAATACTTTTTTAAAAAATTATGATTTCTAGATAGTTTTGATTGGTATTTTATGGAAGTTATGAATTTTCTATTTAGCTGCCCTGTGAGTTCTCATTTTTGCATCGATCCTCTTGTGTTGTGTGAAGATATGTGAATATGTCAACGGTGTGATTTTCCCTCTTTATTTGCAATAGTCTTTTTTTCTTCTAAACCATTTCTCTTCATACATTGGTTAGAATTTCCAGAGCAATGCTAAATAACAAGTCCTAGCAAGCACTCTGATTTTAATAGGACTACCTTCCAACTGTTTTGTCTTCAGTATGATGGAAAAATGGTTTCTCATGATTGTTAATTTAGTGATTAGATTTCCTTCCTTCCATTGTTTTCAGGTCTTGGTTCCCTGTCTTCCACATTTGAATTAGTTGTATTTCCTTTTGAATCTTGATAAGAAAGTGAATCAGACGTTTCAGGGATCTTCCTCCCTATTCTTCATCTAGTTCAGAATAAGCAGTTTGTATGGATTGCTCTTCAGAGTTGTCCCCTTCCACTGAAGTGAAATTTATTTTTCATAAACTCAACTATTTTTCTTTCCTTTGTTTATCCTAATAGCAGGAGGTCTATTCCTGCTTAGGTTTAGAGCAGGAGTTCCTCACATTTTGGGCCAGATAATTCTTCCGGGGGGGAGGGCAGGCGCGGCTGTCCCGTGTACTAGTTAGTACATGGCCTGTACTAACGAGATGCCAGCGGCAGCTCTCCCCCAGAGTTATAACCAACAATGTCTCCAAGCATTGCCAAATGTCCCCTTGGAGGGAAAACCACTGATTTAATGAAGTAGATGACATGAATTCCATCAGAGACAAATTTGTTTTCTGTCATTTTAGAACTCATCTCCAATGCCACGTCCTCTGTAAGACTTCCCCCATATAACCCATCTAAATGAGGACACTCCCCCTACCTGATGCCACCCACACATATAAACATAGGCCTTTCATTAACTATCACAGTAGATTTTGAAGTATGCACTCCTTGGGGTTCCTGAAAACCCTTTCAGGGGGCCTGTGGGAGGTAAAACTGTTTTCATATCAACACTAACATATTTTTTGCCTATTTCCACTATATTGCCATTTGCATTGAGGGTGCTGATCTCTTAGCTTCAGTCAAGATAGTGACACCTAACTGTACTAGCCGTCATTGTAGTCTATATTATATTTAGTTATATATGTGTATATATACATAGAGAGAGAGAGAGAGAGAGAGAGAGACAGACAAATACGGTGGTTTTGAAAGATGAATGGGGGCTGAGGTGGAAATGGAGTGCGGGAGAACAAGACCAAGGCATGAAAACTAGTACAGCTCATCATCTGCTTTAATTGCTTTCAATGAACGAAGGCAAGTTGAGATGCTAGTACAGAATAAGGGACGGGGTTGAAATTCATGTACAGAAGCAGAGATCACATCACAAAGGGTCTCTGTGCCACTCGAGTCTGCACTGAAGGCTTAAAGCCAGGGATATATTTTAGAAATAAGAAAGGTCATGAGGTTCATAAGAAAGGTCATGGCGCTCTTTGTCAAGTAGGAATGGAAGTCAGAATCAATTCCTAAACCCCTTAGAAGTAGCGGGGGGGTTCATGCTGTTTAGTGAAACATGATGTTTCAAAGAGGGGGAAGATAAGATTGGGATAAAAGTCACGTTTTGGACTGTGGTGACTGGGTAGAGGAAGATACTCATGGTGAATACAGGACACACAGACAGAAAGAAAACCGCAAGAGGACTGCTGGTGGGAACACTGATTTCAGGAATCAGATAAACCAATTTCAACAATGAAGAAAACATTTAAATAAACTTGAAAACCTCAAATGAAAAACTGAGAAAAAAGTTAGAAATATGTTTGTTAGATGGCAGTACAGGAGAAAACATGTGGTATTTAAGCAGCAGCAAATGCCACCTTGGGATTATATTTTAAAAACCCACAATAAACCCATATTGGGATTTGTTGATTTTTTTAAACACCTCATAATTTGCCTTACATCTGAAAATATAAAATAATGCCAAACACATACCTTTTCTGCCTTTTTGTCCGAAATGTCCTGCTTCTCCAGAACAGCCATGCTCTCCTTCAGGTTCTTCACAATGTCTGCTGGGGATTTGTGCGACTTCCCGAACGGGAACGGCATGGCGGCAGCGACAGACGCCTCGCTGCGCTCTGCCTACTTTACCTGTGGACACAGCACAAGGCAGAAGTGAGAAAAAAGTGGGGTCCACAGGACGTACATACTTTCCAAATCCTAATCTGGGGAGAAAACCAATGACTTTTAAAATCAGTGGAACTGGGAACCTACCAGTATACGCAAGAAATGATAATACAGAGGAATCTCAGGATTGTAGAACACTCTGTACTTTACAAAAACGTTTTTATCACCTGCTCTTCTAACCCTGCATCTGAGGAGGAACGTGCAGGTACTGACAATGTAGGTGGCAGCAGCTGTCACTCACTCATGGGACAAGTAGGTGTCCCGGCCAATGCTGAGCACTAGGAGGTTAAGCCAGCTCAAGTCTGTCTTGATGCAGTGTCCTTAATCAACACACTATACACACCTCCGATTAACAGATACCTCTATTTTACAATTAAGCAAACTGGGGCGAAAAGTTAGGCAAGGAGCTTAGCCTAACAGCACGAGCAACGAGAAGCCCATCACCCAGGTCTCTCCAGATGCTTCCTTCCCAGCGTTCATGCTGTTCCTCCTAAGCACCCCGATGGGCACACACTTCCATGGCATTCCCACCCCCTCTTCAGTCGGTCACAGGGTCTCAGAGCTGGACAGAACCTTGGACAGAGCCTGGGAAACATCTCCCCTCAGACCCTCAAATCCTTCAAGTGCCAGTTCCAATGTGTGCTTCCTACCAGGATATGACTACCTCCTATGAAGGCACTCATTGGATAAAACCCTGCAGATAATGGACTTGTGGAAGTTCTTAATTTTTTGTGGGTGGCAGAAAACAACATTTCCACCACATAAACCACAATACTGCATCATAGAAAAGGAGCCATCAACTATTTCAAAAAGTCACCATGAAAAAACAAAGTTAACAAGACAAACAATGGCAGTAACTTGGGGAACGTGTCAGAAGTTACAATTTCTTTCACTAAAGACATTATTACTCATAGGCATTAAACCTCATATAAGATATAAAAGATAACACTTTGTAGAAAAAGCTTACAGGCCACTTAGACCAGCGGCTTTCAAGCTGTGAGCTCCAAACTTCTATTTAACTGCGCCTGGAGCCCACCCTCACCTCCATCAAAACAGGGACAAGCAGGTCTTAGATACTTCAAACCCACTTTGTTTTTCCCCAGGTCAACATAAAATATCTCTATTGCATGGCATTACACTTCTTTTGAACTCTGCCTAAGACTTCATTTGAAGAAAGTATATAGTTCAATTTTTTCTCTAAAGTTTGAGACACAGTGACTTACATATCTATTAACAAATAAACATTTTTTGGGGGGGAGGGAGCATGCAATGAATGCTAATGCTAAGCCTGCAATTAATCATGAACAGGTATGTTGTTTGGTGACATGTTTTGATGTGATTTGTTCTGACCACCTTATGCCAATTATCATTTGTCTAGCTCAGCTTGTAAATCTTTTATTGATCAAATTAAAACCGCATCTTACTTAACCAAAGGGAAATGTCCTCAAACGTAGGTTCTCAAAATTCAAAGATGCATCAATTTACTTCAAATATCTTTCCTATGACAAGAAGTTTGGGTCAATCATAGGCAAGTTGCTTCCATGCAGCTGTTACATTATCCTGATTACCTGCTAGATGGATAATTCTTTTCCATTACTTGTTCCTTTTTAACTTTTTTTTTTTTTGAGGTTGATGAGATGCAATGCAGGTTGCTTCTCCAGAAACACAGTGGATTCACACAATAAACTCTGAAAATATTATCTTTCCGATTTGTACTATGCAAATAATGACAGTGATGCCACAAGTTAATCTGGGTGGAGGGTGGGAATGGTTGACGCTATTTTGCAGAAAGTGCTGTGGTGCTATGCAATGGAGATATTTTCAGCTCTGGCTCAATGGTGGAAGAAATGACTTTCCAGGGCAAAAGGGGTTTTCAAAAGTCCTACCACACACTTAATACTGGTCATAGCAGAAAGAATACAGCTGCTTCCGTGAAGGAAAGGGGAGGCATGACACCATCACTCCTCGTAATTAGTACACCAGGCAGCCGAGATTTGGCAGAACATATGAACTAGTAAGACTGTACTCTGAGGAAATACAGTTAGTAACAAGTACGCAAAACAAGAAGTGGACACTTCTCAGCAGGATCCAGGCAGAGTGGTGAAGCTATCCATGACAGGTTCGTATTTTCTCTCTGCCTCTCCCTCCTCCACATCCTCTCTCACCCCCCTGCCCACACTTCATATATTCCTTTATAACTTATTGTTCTAAAAATACAGTTAATGTATAATTAAGTGAAAGAATAAATAAGAACGATATAACTATTATAAAACTTGTAAATAAGAACTATATAGTTCTTATTTTAAAGTATGAGTGTGATAATTAAACAAATCATTTTATTTCTTTCATTTAATCCTCAAATTCCCCAATTCTTACATAACACAACTGTCCAGGATTTTGGAGGTCAAAAACAAGGAAATAACACCCCTTAAAATTTCTGCCTTAGAATCTGTTTCTTATTTCTAAGTTTGCTATGTACTTAAGCTTAAATATCTTATACTTGTCGTATGCCAGCCAGTGATCCAACTTTTTAAATAATTAATTAATTGAAAACACAGAAAAGTTTAAAATTAATGAATGGCTCCTAAGTGATGGCCAAGTAGGTAGACAATACATGTGCCTAGAACATTGCTAAAAGGGTAAGAAGAGTGATGCTTTAAGAAAGAAAGTTCTTCATAAACATGTTAGATTAATACGCATAGAGCTATAAGTATTGACTGTGTTACTGAATTTATGAGTGTAACAAAGAAAACATACGCAGCTATTGAGGCAAATATTATGAATAATATGATGAAATCATGGATGTGTCATACAAATATCCTCATTAAAGATGTGGAGAAAGATACCAAAACAATAAACTACAAGAGTTAAAGGTGGTACTTCTGGGGAGCAGGAAAAGGGTGGGGACTGGTCTTTTTTTTTACAAGCCCTTTTTGCAACCATTTGCCTCCTTCAATTATACACATGTATAATTCTGATAAACATAAAAACTAAGTTTAAAGAAATCAATGGATAATATAAAACAATCTATCTTTAATACATAAAAAGTACTAGTCACAGGACATCTGAATGGAAGGTTGAATAATAGAAAATTAACTCATTTTACTAATCGTGAAAGCTAGACTGAACCAATAGTACCAGCAGTGTTTTTCAAACTTTGATCATATCATAATCTACAAGTAAGAAACTTATTTAATTACACATACAAAAGCTAAAACTGATACCTTTTATTTTATTCAATTTTATTTTTTTTTAAATATGGATGATTAGATAGATTCATGAATTACGAACTGATTTTAGGGATTATAAAGCGGAACAAGAGATTTGGAACTAAATACAAACTTAGTTTTAAAAAGAGTTAAACTTCATGTTTCAACTCTTGCTTCAGTCTCCTTTCTGCCTTCGATCATTACTCACAAGAAACAGAAGCTAATCCCTTCACAGAACACTGCATGACCTTCCGACACTGCTCAAATGACAGACAGCAAAGGCAGCACCAAGGGCGGCTCTCCAGCCCACACTGTCTTTTCCCAGGAGCGGAAAAGTGTCTTCCACAGGGCCTGGTCCACCATCAAACAGTGCCACTCAGTGTTCTGGGACCTCGAAGGATGTGAAACACACAGGCACGGGTCTGAGTTTTTCAACTGACAATCCCAAGGGTATGGAGATGTCCAGCTTCAACAAGGAGGGGTTAAGATGGGTTAGAAGACCTCTCTCCATAACCATCTGCCTGCCTTTCTTATTATCGCCTTTCCTCCTTTCTCATCAGCAGTATTTCATTAGAAGTATTTGGTGGAATTTTAGGGAACATCAACAAGAACCCACTGATTAAGGCCCTTCAATAACGTTTCATTATTCTTATAATAAAATCCAAATTCCTTACCATGGCCCTTCAAGCTTTAACTACTTGAGGCCTGAGCACCACATTTACAAATATAGTAAAACCTGGATGGTGGGTATATGGGCTTTCAGTGTTACTCAACTTTTCTGTATGTTCACATTTTTTTCCTTAGTCGTTTTAAAACTGCCTAAACTACGTTTTGGACATAACTGGAGTTCATGAAAAAAATGGACAAAAAATACATATAATTGAAAAAATTCATTTAGCTTTCAAACACAACTAATTTCCCCGTCTCTTAAAAAAAATGGTTCATAATAAACCTCAGCAAGACTCCTTGACACAAAGTTAATGCAACTGGGAGAATGCCAGCCACTGTTAGGATTCTAAAGAGGGTTTGGAAACCCAGACCTACATTTCTCAAACAGGAGGTAAGTTTGCTCTGATGGTAATGGATGGAGTATGCCTGAATGCTAAAGATAAAGAAGACCTGGAGGGGAAATTTAACTTGAAAATTTGGGGGGTGGGTGGGAAAGGCAGGAGGAATGGGAAATAACATTTCTTATAATTTAACATTCTATTTTTATATTAAAATCAACATTTATGGAACTGCACGCTAAGTCCGCATGAAAGGAATTTACAGGAGTATTTAGCACTGCACACCTCTTAGCTTTTGCATACCCTACACCTTCTCCTCTTACTGCTTTCCTGTCTCTAAATGCCCTTTCTCCATTTAATCCAATGACTCATTTTGACTCCAGCGTTGATGTCCTTCAGGGTTCCATCCTGGGCTGTCTTTATACCCTGTATTCTCTGAGTGATCTCGAGAGATCTATCTGCCGCCCCAATCTGCCGACATTTCCATTTCCAACTGCTACTCCCTATAGATGTCCTCCAGGCAACTCAAACCCTGCTTCTCTTTCTAAGTTCCCCTTCACAGTGAAGGGATCCACTGTGGATCCAATCACAACATTTGGTCATTATACCAGACTTTCCACGTGTTAAGTCTTCCATATATATAAAATCAGTTCACAATTTTAGTTGATTCCCTTTTCTGCATCTCTCTATCCCTACAGAACCAAGTGTAGATTTTCACTGCTATTGTCCAGAGAGCAGTGGCTGTCAA